AACCTAAGGTTTATGCTCAGCCCAGTGAGCCTCTTTTCTGATGCCACACATGCTTTCACTGGTTACTTCTCTAAGGATTCTTTCTGTAACAGACAGGTGAATTTCTAAGAGCAACACTGAAATCTTTCTGCATATATCGTTGAAAGACCAGCAATGATCTTTGCTTTTTTTTCCTCTATTTTTAGAACAATCCATCCCACTTTTTAATGACTGACCTTGAAATTATTCCTTAAGGCCACTATAGGAGTTTGTTTCCCTTTTTCAGATGTCAGACTCTGTGCAGCACAGTTCCAGTCACATTCACAAACACTACAATTCTGACTTAGCAACATGGTCTGGCAGCTGTCCCTCTGCTACCAAATCATTTAACTAAAATGATACACTTAATGGCATTAAATCAAGGTAGAGGGAGCAAAATTCTCCAATTTTTTACTAAACACACATGCTTACATACATACATATATTATATATACATACATACATATAAAATGAAGTCTTGATAAGTGAACCATTTGCTCTTCCACCCTCACTTGCATCTAGATTGCAGATTGATGACAGTTTGGAATTAACCTAAATAGACACACAAAAAAATAATGTATTTGCCTCACAAAATTACATGTGAAAACTTTGGTCAGACATCATGCCTCTACTCAGTTTGAATAAAATCTGCAGAATCAAGGAGTACATCTTGCAGCTTAAGTGGCTCCCTGTAAAGATGTACTCACATGAATCACAGAGTCACAGAACAGTTTGGGTTGGAAAGGATCTTAAATCCCACCCAGTGCCACCCCTGCCATGGGCAGGGACACCTCCCACTGTCCCAGCTGCTCCCAGCCCTGTCCAGCCTGGCCTGGGACACTGCCAGGGATCCAGGGGCAGCCACAGCTGCTCTGGGCACCCTGTGCCAGCCTCTCCCAAGGAAGAATTTCTTCCTAATGTCTGAAACTGTCAGTTGAAGCCATTCTTCCTTAACCTCTTACTACTTTTGTAAATAATCTCTCTCTCTAGCTTTCTTGGAGGCTTCCTTCAGGAGCTTCATGTACCTTCAGGTACATGAACCTGACTTTCAGTTCTGTAATCAACTAAGACTTTGTTCTTTAAAAAAAAGTACTTTCCAAAGACTGATTCAGAACTTTAAAAATTTTTATTTATAGTAGTTTAAATCACCAAGTGTAGAGGATTCATCCTTTTACCATTATGTGTTCATCTTCACTAGACAGTTGTCTTATACCTAGTCTCTTTTCCTCACCATCATACTTGGCTGCCTGAAAAACAAGGCAGCTGCTTCCCATCTCTCTTTTGCATGTTAATTAAAAGACAAGCATTGAATGTGTAGCAACAGGATTACTTTGAATAATTGCCCTGGTTGAGTTTATCTAGTAAAACTGAAGATGACCCTCAGTGGAAGAGCCAAATGGTTTTTAATTTAGGAAGCTCATTTCAGGTTTATCTACAACTTTTCAAGTATTCCTTCTTTTAATAAAATAAATTATGTAGTCCAGTTGCAATAATAATGTAATATCTGATTCTAATGTTATCTTCAGCTTCTAACAATGGATGGGATAGAGGTCCTGCTCCAGTCTATCAGAAGAATGTAATGACCATTAAAAGGCAAGCAGAGATTTGTATCACTCAGTTGTTCAGTGTCATTGTTCCAGTCTCCACAGTGGAGAAACAGCACATTTCTTTTAAGTAAAATATTGCTGGGAACTCACTGCTTCAGCAATTACCTCTGAAACACATTGTTTTCTCAAAGCCATTAACATGTCAGATCATGGCAGTGCTTGACATTCAAACACGCCTTGGAGGGCTGCAATTCAATTTAAGGATCACCTCCTCTGAGCAGGCTAACCTGCAAATTTCACAAAATCTGAGAGAAATTCTCAGGGCACATTTTGATCATGCTGCTTCCTAAATTAAAAACAAAACTGTAAGTGTTAAACATCTTTAACAAGGCATTAAACCTCAGCCATAATCTAAGAGGGGTCCCTTAATGAGCAGTGACATATGTTGTGGAGGCAGTTATCTCCGTGCTCCAGCACCACAATGCAATGGCACAGTGTGCAGAAGGGATGGATCATCACTAATGAGAGGATAATTTGAAGCTCCTCTTCTGAGAACCCCAGAGGACACTTTCCATTGCTGCAGGATGGAGAAGGATGCAACAATCCTTCTTATCACACACTTCAGAGCAGAATGGGAAGTGACAATGTGATGGAGCAAGAGCTGAGACAGAAAGAGAAAATGGGCTTGGACATTGGGAGACTCCCTGAAAGGATAACCTTCCTTTGCTGCTCTAAAAGTCTTGGTGCAAAGTGTTCCATCTCCTCTGTTCCACCCAGCTGACCACTAAGGGCACACTGGACATTGCTGTCCTAGGCATGGGTGTGAGGCTGCTGGACCACAGGACACACTGCAAAAGGAGCTGAGGTCAGGAAGGAGCAGAAGTGATGAACAAGAGCCATGCTCAAAGGCAGAAGAATCCAACTCCTCTTTTACAAAAAAAAAAGTAAAAAGAGAAAACTCTTCAACCAAAGCTAACATCTATTCAAACCAAAACCTGCCTATGATTTTCGTACCCACACAAAATCGTCTTTCCCTGCCCAGCATCTTTTTTACTTTGCTGTTCTTCTGATTGATTGTTTTCCTGTTTTTAAGACCTATCTTCAGCAATTTAAAAGGAAAGCTGCTGAAGACCACTTGTAAATGCTTCTTGAAAAAGCCTCTATTTGGTGACAGAGTAGTATTTAATAATCATCGATATGAAATGCGTAGCTCAGCCCTCCTCCCTTGACCCTTCCCCTCATGTAAAGACATCTGCAAATTAAGTGAATAACAATCAATTTGAGATGTTGCCATTTGCTGAAGCAGGCATTACTGGTTTCTACCTGCATCTAAATCAAGGCAACTGCTTCCAGAGACAAGTGATGTCTTGACATTACATTGCAAAAATTATGAAAAGTATCAGAGCTTTGGTGAACCTGTATTGTGATTACTAGACTGCAGTTGTTAAAGTTATAAATCTGCAGCACTTGGAGCTCTCTAGAGAAGATCTTTTAGATGAAGCCCATCTAATAATCTGCCCTGGCATTGGGCAATATTTTTTTTTAATTCAAATTTTTATTCCTAAGCAGGAATGTCAGAACAGGCTTATTATCTGGTGGTTCTTTGCCCAGATTTGTCCTCACCTTCTAATATTTAGTAGCTGGGAGGCTTCTGGAGCCCAAGGTCACGTGTGAAGAAGTTCTACAGCTCTCTTGATCTTGTACATGGTAAATCACCCTTCATGCCATGCCCTGCAGATTGCTCATGGACAGGAGCAGCACACAGCCAAACTTTTTCAGCTGCTGTCTCTGCTGATGCCTCTTCTGGGCTCACTCTGTCATTTCTCACACAAAAGCAGTGTAAACCCCTCTCTAGCATTGGTGTCATACACTGGTTTCTCCCAGTTCTACCATGTGCTTTTTAGACAGGGTCATTAAAACTGTGTAATATTTACTTATACTTTGTTATAACAACCCTTTTCCACTTTGCTATTTCTTCCCCAATCATTTCAAGCATTCATATTCCTTTCTTTTGGCAACTGTCAATTACTGATTTGACATTTCACAGATGCTAAGATAGCTGAGATAGCTTCAACATCTCAGTCCTTGGCAATATCAAACAGCTCAGAGCACAGCACTTTTAATGTAGAGTTAGGATTTTCTTTTTTAAACTTATCACTTCAAAAATTAATCTTAATTGATTTAAAAACTGCAATACCTAGGGTTTGAGGTGATTACATGCAATTCAGACTGAACTTATGCTATTGACTAAAAGGTCTTCACCTCTGTTTATGTTTTGGGGTTTATTTTTTTCCCCTCCAGTCACCTGATTCCCCAGTTTCCTAGATGACTGCCCTACTTTTAGCAAGGAAGAGGAACCTCTTATTTTCACTGTGGTGTAGAGCCTTAACTCCCCTCCCAAGTGGAGAAACAGCAGGGGGGCTTAAACACTCATGGGGGCAGAAAAAATGACAAGAAAACCATCTTTGTTCCAGGAATACAGTATGAGGTCACGTTACTATGGCAGCATGAACCATTTCCCCTCTTTCTAGCTGGTAGAACTTTGCCCATAGTTTATTCCCTGGGAAGCCTAATCCAGAGTTCAGGCTGGGGGTGGGGAGAGTGGGTTTAGAGGTCAACAGCAATGTGACAATAGCCTAGTGAAGAGAAAAGAAAGCCATGATATAGAAGAACCAGAGTCATGGGGGCTGGCTCATACAGAGAGGTTAGAATTCATCCCCTCACTTTAGTCCAAAGTTCCTGATTTAGCTGTTCTGTGCTCAGCATACAGAGAGCCTGAATGATGAACAATAAGGATGACAGGACAGCAAACAGTAACAGATGAGAAAGTGCTGACAAGAAAACTGGAGCATGTGCCCAGTGCTGTATTTTATTTATTAGCTAAATTACTGTTATATTTACAGGCATCTTAGAATAATGCCATTATTTTTCCTGCTTCATTCCTTACAGTTGTTAATAACCTACTAACAGGATATAACTTCTCCACACAGAGGCTGCAGGCAGAGAAGAGGGAATTTCTGAATAACATCTACATGATGCATGCACCCCTGTGTGTGTAACTGCTCCCATAAAAAGGGACAAACGTAGACTCTAAAATATTATAAAAGAGCAAGAGGTAAAATTTACATGTGACTTAAAGCACTAGCTTCATAATACTTGGAAAAAAGAAAGAATCGTGATTGGTTTTCTTTCACTTGGCAGTCTAGGGAAAAAGAAAAGACAGACAAGAAAGTAAAGAAATTCACTATTAAAACTGGCAAGAATAAAGATCTGTGAGATCAAGGTTCTCCAGTTTCACTCATCCCTACACTACAATCCTGAGAAATATTTATAAGGAAATCTGGAATTCCAACAGCAGCACAGAAGTTGCAAATGACTCAGGGAAAACAACATGTAAGACACCAAAGTGAACAACTGTTTTCTCAATATTCACAGATATGATTAGCTCAGTTGATCAGAGCATGGTGCTAATAATGCCAAGATTGTGGGTTTGATCCTCACTTAAGAGCTGGACTCAATGATACTTTTGGGTCCCTTTTAACTCAGAATATTCTGTGATTATTTGATGGAACTTCTGTGATTATTAGTCCAAACCAAAAGATTTACTTTTCTCTTAAACAGGGCCACAAATATTTTCATCATCCAAGGTCTGAAACGTCTTTTAAATCCAGCAGCATGTCACTGAACACTTGAAATGATGAAAAGAATTCTACCAATACCCCAAATATGTGGGCATATCCTTAACTAACAGCCCATGGGCAGTGCTCTATTTCTGGACAAGGGGGAATTGCTACTACATTACACTAAAAAACATTTCCAATTAAGGAGGAAAGTCATGTAAGACAAATTAAATACAGTAAGGAGCTGCTGTTGAAAAGCACTACATTTATTAAGATAAGACACTGTTGAACTGTCCACTTATGGTGCAACAGTGATTTAAAAGACCACTCTGGTCTCACAGAAACTCAGATACTTAATTCAGGCCTTTCAGCAGCTCCCATTACAAGGAGTTCTTCTACCCCTCCTCCAATATGATTCCTTTAATGTGTGACAATAAGGCTCATGTACATGAAGGTATCCATGGCATAGCTTGAATTAAGCCATTTAACCTCCACTGAAATCCCATCAAGAAAAATCAATCCATACTCAGCTTTATACTACAGAAACGAAACCATGATTGGTACCTGAGCTAGACAGCCTTAAATTATCTCAGGTACATCTACATTGTACTGTAATCATTTCTGTGACTGCAGGGTAGACATCTGTAGCCTCTGGAGAATTACTGTCAAGGCCTCAAGAAAAACCTGTCCAATGCTTTTCTGTGGCAGATTAATGCAATGAGGGATTTTCCCAGAGAGAAAGCTGCAGGTGTGTAAACTGACATAGTTCCTGGAAAAACCTAACATGCACACCTTATTTCCCTACCTGTAATGTGAAGACTGACTAGTCCTGTCCTATTAGAAAGAGCTGGCAGCCAGAGAGGTTTACAGACATTATTCCTCTTGCCACACACAAGGTAGAATGATATGGGATGAAAGGATCTTGCAGCCTATTCCACAGGAAGCACCACATTTACAAAGGGAAATGGAAATACATCCCTGTTTCACACTTCAGCATTAATATTGTCATTCACAGCACAGCTGCAGTGATGGACAGATGCTAAATGCAGAACAGAAGGATTACATTGGCCAAAGCACTGTCTGACTAAGTTTAAAATCTCTCTCTGGCCAAAACATAAACTAAAGATAAATGATGTAAGTCTGGGGCCAAATTATCTTCAGAAGGATCAGATTTATTTACTGAACATGCAGGATGCCTAGAAGTCAGCAGGAAGCATTTATTGATTAGCCATTGACAGCACTGTGTCACCCAAGTGCACCATATTATTGAATATGTTTACTTGCTCAATGTGCATCTCTAAGCTACTGTCTCCTACAAGTGAACAGTGTAATGGCTTTTGGAGAGAAGCAGAATATAAAGACATAAAAAGTCTCCCTGACAAAGGGCTCAGGGCAGCTGTGTTCAATTCCTAAATTGAGAGAAGCAGAGATAATCCACTAATCCTGAAAGGAGCAGCATAGATCATGCCTGCCACCCAAGCACCAGGAAAGATTTCTGGACAAGAAAAGAAGCACCCTTCCCTTTGACATGAGAGGTCATGGGTGGCATTTCAGCTGCTGTTCTCTGGGAGAGTTCTGCTTTTCATCCTGATCATTCTTTTCCATTGCAGGATGAGTCTGCTGTTTTCTGAGAAGGATTTACTTTCAATTTCACTCTAATTATGAGGAGTACAGATTTAGAGGAAATGAAGCAGTCTGGTACTCTAAGAGCCTGCTTTCAGCTTTTTGTTGCATTCTGAAGTAATTTTGCTACTTTGCATTTTAATAGGTAAATTATGTCAAACTGATCTGTTCTTAAGGATGGGCAAAGTTACCCCTTACCTAAACGTGTATTAAGCAACTGAGGTAAGAACCTGCTTTAGCTGTTGTTACAAGTCCAACAAAATCTTCAAGTGCTCTGCTAGGTTTGATGTAATTAATGCAGAAATTCCTTTTTCTGGTGGCCACTTGTCAGTCTCATTTCTGTGCTATACTGTTACACAGTAATACTGAGTGTTCCACTTGGAAATCGAGATTTTATGTTCTAAGGCAATTGTGTGGCTCTGTCAGGTGCCTGAGTCATTACTCACCTGTAAAAGCTTACAGCAGGTGTATTCTATTTCATGAATTAGGACTTAAGCAAGACTGTCAGATGGGGCAGATTTGCAGAAACAAGGAATTACTTGGGTTGGAAGGAACCCCAAAGATGATTTAGTTTCAAGCCCCCCCTGCCATGGCAGGGACACCTTCCACTGTCCCAGGTTGTCCCAAGCCCTGGCCAGCCTGGCCTGGGACACTTCCAGGGATGAGGCAGCAACAGCTTCCCTCTGACCAAAGAATTTCTTCATAACATCTAATTTAAATCTCTCCTTTTTTTTTTTTTTGTTTTAAAACCATTCTCCATTGTTCTGTCACTATCTGCCCATGTAAAAAGTTTCTCTCCCTCCTTTCCACAAGCCCTGTTGAAGTGCTGGCAGGCTGTGAGGAAATCTTCATAGCAGAGATGCTCCAGCCCTCTGATCATCTCTGAGGCCCTCATCAAAGACTTAGAAACATTTTTATTAGCAGTAAAAACTTTTTTTCTAGGAAAATAGCTCGGCTTTTTTTCCTTTTCTTAAAAAAAAAAAGTTATCCTTGCTTTCACCACCTGCAGACAGTCCTGGGAACTGACCAAGAGTCTGAGGGTTGCATTTAATTTGCATAAATCAGAGCTGATTACAGTTACTTTCCTCATTAATACACTGAGTACTGATTAATAATCGGCAATAGACAGAATGTAGTGATGCATTTGCCAGGGGCTGAATGCAGCTTGATGCCAGACATGTTTCTAAAAACAAAACTCCTGTTCCACAATGCTCCTGCTCAACACACAGAGCACAACCAATCTACATCACAATGCAGTCTTTGTTCTGAAAGGAAGAGAAAGTCCTGAGAGTTTCCTTAGTTCCTACCGGTCCTATCTTTATTTTAAACCCTGCTGGGAGGGTCAGAGATGTGAGCTACTTTTGTGGCCCCTGTCTCATTCCATGCAGATGCTTCAAGCAAAGCTCCACACCCCTTACTGCTGTAGCTGTGGGTTCTGTTGATGCCTTAGGATTTTGGCTTTTATATTTTCATATATTTGTAACCCTGCAATTCTTTAGTGTAGAACTCTAAACTCCAGATCCAGTGTGAGCTGCTGCTTTCTCATTTTGGGCACACACAACAATTCCTCTCCAGGCTGGCAATCAAGGACACCTCACTGCCTCAGGCCTGAGAGATGGAAACAAAAGTGAGTTGGGGGAGCAAACTTGGGGTAAATGACTTCATTACCTGGAGCTGTAATTGGAAGATTAACCCCCAATATGCAAATGGTCCAAAATTATAAAAGCATAAAAACCTGTGACTTGTCATCCATTTTTGGGTGTAGCTCCTGGGGGGCTTTGTCTGCCCTAAATGTACCTGAAGGCCCTTCAATAAATAGAACTGATTTCTATTCCCTTAATTTTATCTGGCCTCTGTTTTTAGGTAGCCCCAAAAATCACCCATAGATTCTGCACCAGCAGCTGAGTTGCATTCAACAAGAAAAATACTGCCAAGAGGAGTGAACTGTTTCCTTGTTGCCTGTATAGAGATGCAAGCAGCACATCCAGCACAGCACATCTCTCATTTCATTATGACAATATACATCATCTACCAGCATATTTATTGCTTACATCGATGTGAGTTTTTTACATGAAAAATTGATTTATCTATTGGATAATTAGTAAACCTCAATAATTGCAAAAACCTCTTAGCAATTAGTTGACATTTAATTAACATACAATAACTGTCTTATTAAATCTCCATTAAATATCTGTTAGAGTTAATTAAAACCCACAATTCCATGATTCCTGGGGAAACCACTTTATAGTTAAACAATAAGCTGCCTGGAACAGTTGCTTGCTTACTTCTGTTGCAATGAGTTGCTCCAGTTTAAGGTAAGGCCAGTCCTGTGTTTCAGATTCCAGCAGTCTGTGGTTATGGAAAGACATGGTATGAAAAACATGAATGAAAATACATGAAATGCTCCAAGATTTTCAGCTGGACTCAGTGACAAACCTTTTTTTTTTGTTAGATGTATGTGAAATTCATGCCCCAAGCATGTCCCAAGTCAATAATGGCTTTTGTGTTGCTTAAAAACCATGATAAACTTTTGTGCAGAGGGACAAATGAATAGTACACCATGTTCTTTTGTATGTTATTCTAATAAGATTATTTGGAATTTTGTTCTAAATTTGTGCTCTTATCCCATGAGATCTATTTTGCTGGCTTCTGCTAAGGCAGAAGCATCTTCTATATCATCTGATTGGATTAAAAATTGGATTATGCAGAAAACTTTTGAAACATTAGGCAAAAAAATTATACTTGAGTTTTTCTTCTACTCAGCCCACTCAAATATATTAATGAAATAAAAAACCCCAACCAACCAAAGAAAATCCTAATCTTTTCTTCTTGCAAGAGACAAAAATGCAAGCATTTAGCACTGCTGTTTGATCTGTGGCACATGAGCAGCTTCAAGCAAGTACAAGATCCTTTAAAATGGGAATCCAAAGTAGTATCAAGTATAACAGAGCTCATATTTGTGCATGTGGCTGCCTAAAGTTAAAGTCAGAATAAAGTCAGTTCACAGGAAATATCACTAATAAGACTTTGGGAATCCTTGTGGTTGACCTAAGCTTATAGTATTCAGAACTTCTCTTTTACATACAGGAATTTTCTGAACACCTAAGCATATGTATAAAAGTGAAATCAAATGATTGCCTCAGACTTGACAGAACTGCTGAACTAAGAACCAAGCACTGTCCTCTATTAAAGGGCATCACCTTGAGAAGATAAAGGTTTGTAAATGTTGCTCTAGAAGTTGGTATTCCCTGCTATTGTCTATTATA